TTTTCTACCTCAGTGTTATTGCTAGCATCTTTCATAACATCATCAATATTTGGCAAATTATTTCTGTTAAGTGGCAGAAGTGTGTCGCCATTTAGCGTTGTTGGTATCCCTTGAACAAAATTAATATTTCTTATTTTTAACATTTCATCATAAAGGGGTTGCCAACAGTCATAAATGTATACTATGTTTTCTATTTTCTTTGAAACCAACTCATCAGCACGTTTAATCAACTGTTTTACAAAAAATGTTTTTCCAGAATTTGATGGTCCACTTATTACACAAGAAAAAAGATGTTGTAATCTAAAATCAAACCTGATCAACATGACCAATCAGTGTGTCGAGTCTAATAACTTTTGAATTGTCAGAATTTAGTGTGATACCATTTGCTTTCATATATGTTTTACCGGTTGCTGTGCGATAATCGTATGTCTTGGGCCCTCCTGAGCAGAACTCTGTAATGTAATCGTCACCACCAATTTCGTCTGTCAAATCACCTAAGTAGGGTCCCAGAGGGGGTTCCCAATCACCTTCATGAGAAACAAAAATAACACTGTCAGTGTCGCTGTACAACAGTCTGTCACCTAATCTATCCACTAGATTGTACAGTTCTAAACGAGCGTGCGCTGTTGTAAAAGCACCAAGAAACACATTAATGTCACGTGTTGGGCAGCTGTCTCCGGCAGAATAGCACCACTGAATCAGCGCTGTGGTATATAGGATACAAATGAAAAGTGTTTAACATCATATCCATCACCAAAGATGTGTTGTGAAAACTGTTCAGGGTCAGTCAACAGCTCAGACACAGGCAAGTTTTCCGTCATTGAAAAACGACCCCACAAGCTGTTTAACAACAATTTTTAATAGACCAGCGTGCTGGGTTAAGACATATCTTGTCAGGATTCAGTTGAATCTTTTCCTTTTCAAAATAATCCCTGATGTACTCGGCCCTCTCTTCCTCTGTGACAGCGTGTGCTGGATAACCGCTGGCCTCCTGCTTGTACTGTAAAAAAAGTCTTTACATACTCGCAGAACAACGTCTCTGAACTGTCTGGAAAATGCCAAACCTCATGGATTTTTGCCACCACATACCCTTTCTCAATAGCCTTCATCAGTTCAATACTGACCCAAGCCCCTGTGATGGATCTTTCTTCATCACTATGCATACACGCTTGGAACTGGCTTTCCTGCTCGGCACAAGTACGACACTGTGGGAATATTAACTTGCCATTACAGCGGTAGGGTAACACAGTGTGTAGGAGTTTTCTTGGTGGATGTACGGTTGCCTTGACTAGACCATAGTACTCCTCGAGAGGTCGAAAATTTTTGAAAAATATTTGAGGGTGGCCTACGGGGTATTTCTTTCTAGCCTGACAGAACGGGTACAAACCAGTCCAAATATCTGATTTTCTCACCCTCTTTTGCCTTCTAATACAATTTATACGCGTTGGTTCTACCACCAAAGAGCGCATCTCTTGGTTTTAGCCTTTCAGGAACTGTGTAGTTAGACATGAATGCTGCAGCACTCAAATCGCACCTCTTAGCATTTGCCCACTCACATTCCCACATTACTTCCACATCTAGACCATATGTTCGAACAAGTATTTCTACCTTGGTGTCGAACTGTTTTCGCAGTTCATCATACAATACCTTTGACATTGGATGAGGCTGGTTCGGACTGTAACGACTTTCATGGCCATGATGCATGCAACTGTTAAATTCTAAGGCTTTTCGTACACCACCCTTTTCATAATACCCGTCCACATAATACTTCATTTCTCCATGAGTTAGGGCGTGGTGCACATCAACATCTCTTGTACGTTTAACATACTCAAGCCATTCAATAGAAGCATTAGAGAATGTCTTGTGTTGGTTAATGTACGCGTTGTTGTGTGTCAGCGCTAGTGTGTCTTTGGGTAGAAAATGTGTCTTGTACACAGCCATGCAACATGATGCTAATGTTGTATAATTAAACGGGTCTAGCTTTGTACACTGAATGAATTCATCGCGATACTTCATACATGCTTCATGTAGTAAGACGGCATCGTTCCTGCCATAAACATACCACACCTTTTTAAAGTCAAACACACCACCACAGACCGTGCTGTACAACTCGTCAAACTGTTTTCTGTCTTTGTCATTCACTGTGTCATAGCCATAAAAACTCTTGTCAGGGTATGGACCCACATAGTTCTCATTTTGCTTCAAATTAAATTTGTGTGGAAAATGCCTTTTCTCTGAGCATTTTGGATTTAAGGCTGATGCCTTATTAGCCAAACGTATTGGCGTGAACGAGTGTGATTCTATGTAACCTTTTTTTGTATGTTTCGTCATACATGGAGATCAGTCTACACCCCATCATAGTGATTTTGACAGCAATGCCCACTTTAGAAAAATATTCCAGTAGTAGGAAATTGTCAAAACCTGCTGCACTGTGTGCTAACCATGTGTAACCCAGATATTTGGGGCGTCTAAACTCTTTGATGAGTTGTTCTACACAGTCAGACCCTTCTGCTTTGAACTCTCTACCATCAAACGTCATTGCACAGACAAAATTAGCTTTGTGCTTGCCGTTTTCAAATCGAGCCTCAAAGTCAAAAAAGATGTATGAATTACTGGGTTCTTTTAATTTGATCAACTGTATGTAACATTCATGCGTCATATCTGATATGAATTCTTCACCGCAATGAGCACAATGTCTGGACACACACCTGTGGGGTTTTGGTTTTGTTAAACTAACGTGATAACGACGTTTTTTTACTAATACTTGGTTAGATCACATGAGGATGCCATCACTCCTGAAGTAGGCTGTTGCTTCGGTTCCTTTTGTTGATCATAACAAAGGTCAGACTTGCAGTAGCGCGAACGGTCATCACAATATTTGACATTTGTGGGTTTCTTGTGACACAACGCATCTTGACACACATCACAGATGTATTTACAGCTATGATCCCTGGCACTGTATCCCTTATAACAAAACTCACAAAAATATGGCACACCCATGAATGCTTTCACCTTTTTTACCATGTAATAATGGCCGTCGTGGAGATACAGAAACACGGTGTTGGCATGTGGTTTGTCTTTTGTTTGGTAGTTCTCTAGACTACCCAAACTGCTCTTGTGGAACACAACTATTTTAGCGTCTGAAAATCTGTCAACGCTGCATCTCTTGAAGACAACAAGGCATTTACATCAGATGTTAAACTACCACCTCTTAGGGTAATGTCGATAACACTACCATCACCAGCCAAAACCCTGGAGAACGATACAGTGTCTGATAGCATATTGCGTACATAGGCTGTGTATGAGGCCATGTCTGTGGATGGGGCATCACGTAAATTCAATGTCCTGTGTAGTATAACATTGTTAAACCTACTTCTCTGCACAACGGTATAAAAATCTACAACACCACCATTTCTCATCAACACCGCTACGTCACCGTCTAAGCTCATCGATATTGTTAGAATGGTAAGTGCTGCTTACCCAAGGCTTGTGCTCCTGATCCGGTCTTAAGCCATCCCCATCAAAGTCTCTAAGTTCTTTCAATATCGTATTTAGTCCAGTATGCACTGTTTTATCCACCTTTTCTGTAAAGCTGTTCTCATTCCACGTGTTCAACAACTCCTCAGTCCAGACAACATCATCGTCTATTGTGAATAGATGCCACTTTTTTGGCATCTATTCACACAGATTTGTGGCTATCATCAAAACTAAGGCGTTTTCCATGTGAAATTTACTTGTCATTTGCACTCGAGTATCTCATCAGACGTTTTCCATGTAAAACAGGCTGGTCTGCATTGGCCCTGTGGTGGTTCCCTGGGACTGCTTGTCAAACAGGGCTTAAACGTTGGCAATCTGGACCCATTGTTGTAGGTACTGGGTACATGCTGGCCATGTTGCTTCCAACTTGAAGGCTGAATAGGTGAATGCATAGGGCTTTCGAACCAACTAAATACACCATTTTCTCAAGACCCGCCCGTGCTATAGCCTATTCCAATCCTTTGTGTTTGATTGGTCCACACTAATAGGCATAATAACAGCATCACTATCAATGTTTGCAGCTGTTTAGTCTGTTGATACAGGAAACTTTCTAACATCAAACAACTTAGCGAAAGCCCCCAGATGTCTTTAACACATAGCAGAAGACACATAGTCACACCATTAATTGCTCACACAGCATGGGGTGGGGGAAGTGACCCCACCAAAGGCGGCACACTGACACCTCAACAATTCTGTCATAAATCTTGGGATGTGTGTGGTGTAAGGATATCCTGTCAGTCAAAACTGACATGTCAATCACAGGGGTTATAAATCAGGGGGTCATAAATCAAGGGGTCATAAATCAAACTGACTTGTCACTCGGGGGGGTCATAAATCACAGAAAGTGTATGATATATATTACTCAGGACATTAGGTTCCCAGGACTGGAGATATGAGCTCTTGATCTGTCCCATGTAAGTACATACTGTTTTGGTTCCTCCAAGCCTACCTCTGACAGAAAGCCTTTTATTTCATGATCATGAACACCCTCAACGTCTGCCTGCACAGTGTCAGAACCTGCTACTAGAGCTTGGTATAACACTGGAGCAAAGAAATGCGGGGACGGTCCTCCATGCAATATCATATATTATGATATATTATGATATATAGCTATCACCTGTCCTGTGTAAAAGTAGCTGTTGTCTTTCGCAGCTATCAAAAATAGAATAAGATTCCATTTAATATTTGTAAAATCAGCAAATCATTCAAATTCATCACACAGAAACATGAAAAATAAATATCTGTAGTTACATGTTTTTGGTTCACAACACTCACTCACTTTTGGTTCACAACACAGAAGGTGCATAGACATCTCTCGTAGTCTGGGCTTGTAAACATTATGGGCTGAAGAAGTCTGAGGAACTCTCTCATCAGGCCTCCCATATACACTGCTCCTTCAGAGTTTCCACCATCATCTGTGGACTTACTTAACATTTGTCTTTTTTTCAATGATTCCTCTGTAGCTTCAGCAAGCTCCTCATCTTCTCAGTCACTCTAAAACATCAGGAGACAGGCAAATAAGATCCAAATAATCTCTGATAACTGCTGGTGGAGATACCTCTGCTAAGGATCTGTGGAATTAGCCTTCAAAATGGAGAAAGGTTTGTTTTTTTTAAACCCATATTAAAAGACTGAAATGTGCCTGTTATTGATACTTTATATTTTGTGTTTTATATGTTAACACAACATCACAATATGAAACTATTAAATTAAAACAATTAATGTTACATTTCATACATGGTAATACATGTCTTTAGTAATGGACAATGATCCTGCCTCACTACTGTATCGCTGTTGATCTTCTTGGAAAGGAAGAGGAACAGAGACTGGAGAAGGGGGGGGAGGGGTGAGGCAGTGAGAGAGAAAGCGAAAGCAACTTTAATCTGACAATGTTATAAACGGAGGGAAGAGTTCAGATATCAGCACTTTGGATTCGCTCGGTAAGTTAACTAACACAAACGAGGAATTTCTGCAGATAGTTTAAAACGAGAGCACGTTTTATGTGTTTCACAGATACTAAACTGGTCTTTCAGCTGAACTCAGTGGAGGATTATATTTACTCTACAGCAGATACTCAGTGACCGATCACTGACACACGAGACAAACATCCGATCAGAGGGCCGAAAGACTGTTTGAGTGAAGGTCTAAAAACGCTGTAAACTGAGCGGCGAATACAGATACAGTCGTATTTAACGCTGATAGCTGTGCGTTTGAGTGAAGGTCTAAATGTATAAACGCTGTAAACTGAGCGGCGAATACAGATATAGTCGTATTTAACGCTGATAGCTGTGCGTTTGAGTGAAGGTCTAAATGTATAAACGCTGTAAACTGAGCGGCGAATACAGATATAGTCGTATTTAACGCCGATAGCTGTGCGTTTGAGTGAAGGTCTAAATGTATAAACACTGTAAACTGAGCGGCGAATACAGATATAGTCGTATTTAACGCTGATAGTTGTGTGTTTTGTCTGAATTCAGAGCGCATTACTGTTTATGAGGAACATTGAGCTGATAAAGCACTAATACTGTAAAAGGCGTGGTGATGTGCAGTAGTGCGGGTTGACCAGCAGAGGGACAGACCTGCAGCGCTTTAGAGGGGCGTGTTTATTTGCTCTATCAGTCATATCCACCTTGTTTTTCTCCTCAGTGCTGTATTTTGAGATTATGGCTGAAATATCTGGTTGTGGAAGTGAAAATCATTACAGTGAATGAGGTTTTAGGGTGGGTGGATTTCTTTTCACTGTTGGGGGGCAGTAAACAGAAAACATTCTCAAGAGCAGTTCCAGAAGGAGACACCAAAGGTGCCGCTAAAAGTACTGTTGTATTAAATTAATATAGAATGAATGCTTATCACTGCTGTATATAGTGGATAATTGATAGGCTAATTACGTAAGGGTTGTAGCAGCGTGTTCAAATGTTTTAAACACTTATTTTAATAGTAATAGTAATAAAGGTGGCAAAGTTGCACCATATATGGGTGCAGTTTTCCTAATTACAGTGAGTGTGGTGTGATCCCATCTCACAGAATCTCTATTGAGAACCACCATCATAATAGTTTCAGTATGAATTTTCCTTGTAATCATATTTTTCTCACACATTTACGTAGTTATTAAATATGTGTTGCTGGTCTAATCTCTGAGTCGCTACAGTAGCTTCACAAGAGCATAAAGCTCAAAATAAGCACAGATCTAAAAGCAGAGGAAATATTTCAGTGAATAACCAACTAAATGAAACACAATATTAAGAGAGAATAAATAATTCTCATAAGAGAGAAAAAATCCTGTCAACAAGCCGTATTGGAGACAGCATGTCTCATGTTGACTGAGACTGAGATCTGCTGGGGGGAGGATGTTTTTCCACCTAACCACTAGATGGCGATATTGATCAGGTGATCAGGTGATGAATAGAAACAGAACTGAAAGTAACTTTAAGCTGACGCCCTCAGCGAAGAGGAGCTGTTTACAGGTTTCACCGCTCTGGATTTCACACAGTGATTTCATTTAATATAAAATCTAGTAATGTACAATAAGCTCGTGTGACTCAGGAGATTTTGAGTGTCTGTATGTATGGATTCTTTAATTCAGCTCAGTGGTGGATTAAACTAAAGGGAAATGTGAGACGAGCTGATGTTGAAACCAGTCACGAGACTCAAACAGAGGGTTAAAGCACGTAAATCCCTTTATCCCTATATTTTGTGTAGTGGAGCACTGTAAACAGCTGTAACTTCCTTTTCAGCATGTGATCAGGTTACGCACTGAAACGAAACTGAAAGTAACTTTAACCTTCTGCTACTGGAAGACCAGATTTCACATGATTGTTAATATATATGTGTAAATATTCATATGTTTACATGTATATAAATTCACTTACTTTGAAGTACAAGTAAACACAAACAAATAACTACATTTAAAGCAAAAACCTTTTTTTTTACATATATTGTACACAGGTATTACATACACACAGTTTTCCATATACAGGATTATGTAGATGTGTCAGGTACATAGAAATATTAATAACATTTGAAAACAGTCTTACTTTATTTATTTATTTATTTAATTATTTAGTTAGTTAGTTATTTCGTCTTTGAGTGAGAGGGATGTATTTTTCTCCTGTGAAACTATATACCATTGTACAACCCCGTTTCCAAAAACGCTGTGCAAAATGTAAATAAAAACAAATACAATGATGTGCAAATCATTTAAACCGTATATTTCATTTAAAATAGTATAAAACAAGATATCAAATGTTGAAACAGAAATTTTGTTGTTTTTTAAAAAATATATGCCCATTTTGAATTTGATGCCAACAAGACATTTCAAAAAAGTTGGGACGGGGGCAACAAAAGGCTATTAAAGTTGTGTAATGCTAAAAAAACAGCTAGTGCTTGATTGGCAACAGGTGAGTAACATGATTGGGTATAAAGAGCATCTCAGAGTCTTTCAGAAGTAAAGATGAGGAGGGGTTCACCACTCTGTGAAAGACTGCACAAGCAAATAGCGCAACAATTCAAGAATAACGTTTCTCAACATAAAATAACAAAGAACTTCTGCTTTTCATCATCTACGGTTCATAATATCATTAAAAGATTCAGAGAATCTGGAGAAATCTCTGAATGTGAGGGTCAAGGCCAAAAACCAGTATTTGCTGGCTGTGATTTTTGGGCCCTCAGGCAGCACTGCATTAAAACCAGACATGATTCTGTAGTGGAAATCACTGCATGAGCTCAGAAACACTTCTGAAAACCACTGTCTGTGAAAACAGTTCATCACTGCATCCACAAATGCAAGTTAAAACTCTAAAATGCAAAGAAGAAACCATATATAAACATGATCCAGACACGCAGCCAGCTTCTCTGGGCCTGAGCACATTTGAAAGGGACTGAGGTGAAGTGGAAAAGTGTCCTGTGGTCCAGCAAATAAAAATTTAAACAGTAGGGTTTTTTTAATTATGATAATATTCCAAAATGATGATGGTATTTCAAGATTATGACATGTCAAATTTCCATTCCAAGTCTGAATGGCTAAATAAACACATTCCACCCATTTATATTTTAGAGGGCTCATGATTGGTGGTGTAGCAGCTCATCAGTAGGTGGCGCTGACAGAAAGAGGGGAAAAATCAGGGCCAGGAAAAAAGCAAACTAAAAAAAAACTAAGCATGATAGTAGATTAGCCACTAAAGAGACACTAAAGAGATACACATGCTTGCTTTCAATCTAACAAAAGTCACTCACTCTCAGATATCCTATCCACGGGTGTCACGTTTAGCCAGCTAAATAAAATAAAACTTGACTGGTAACTGCAGCTGGTGGGGTAAAATATGAACTTTCCACCCAGTACATAAAGTTTGGTATATAAATAAATCCAGTATTATAGACGCTTCTGTGAAAAATGCAGTGTAGCTGATGTTGATCCATCAAAGCTCTGCTTGCCCAGTCTTGTTAAGATTGGATATCAGATACACTCTAATGTGACTGAATGTGCTCCAACTGGTTTTCTCTTTCTGAGGAAAAGGAAGTTACAGCTAGTTTATCATTCAGTCTAAAGTCCAGTAGAGGAGCTGAGTGTGTGTTCAGGAGTGTGATATAATAAACTGGTCGACTGTGAGAAACTACAGATCGTATTATCATATATGAGCTGATGAGTGTCTCTGCTGTAGGACTGGAGATCCTGATAAAGACGGAGCTGAACTTTTCTACCTGAAGACTCTGAAAGACTCTGAACACTGACCTCAGAATCAGGTAACTCCGCTCTCAGCTTTAAAGACTCTGAACTCTGACCTCAGAATCAGGTAACTCCGCTCTCAGCTTTAAAGACTCTGAACTCTGACCTCTGAATCAGGTAACTCCGCTCTCGGCTTTAAAGACTCTGAACACTGACCTCAGAATCAGGTAACTCTGCTCTCGGCTTTAAAGACTCTAAACTCTGACCTCAGAATCAGGTAACTCTGCTCTCAGCTTTAAAGACTCTGAACACTGACCTCAGAATCAGGTAACTCCGCTCTCGGCTTTAAAGACTCTGAACTCTGACCTCAGAATCAGGTAACTCTGCTCTTGGCTTTAAAGACTCTGAACACTGACCTCAGAATCAGGTAACTCTGCTCTCGGCTTTAAAGACTCTGAACTCTGACCTCAGAATCAGGTAACTCTGCTCTCGGCTTTAAAGACTCTGAACTCTGACCTCAGAATCAGGTAACTCTGCTCTTGGCTTTAAAGACTCTGAACACTGACCTCAGAATCAGGTAACTCTGCTCTCGGCTTTAAAGACTCTGAACTCTGACCTCAGAATCAGGTAACTCTGCTCTCGGCTTTAAAGACTCTGAACTCTGACCTCAGAATCAGGTAACTCTGCTCTCGGCTTTAAAGACTCTGAACTCTGACCTCAGAATCAGGTAACTCTGCTCTCGGCTTTAAAGACTCTGAACTCTGACCTCAGAATCAGGTAGCTCTGCTCTCGGCTTTAATGGACATTATTACTGATTTACTGTTTGTTTTTAACTTTCAGTGTGAAACAGACTCTCAAACTGAACTGAGGTTAGAGAGATGAAGTTTTCAGTTCAGTTGTGATCATTTGCCAATGTCTATAAAGGAAGTTGATTCTGCTGTTTTCTAGTTCTGATTACTACTTTCTGTAGGTTTTTTATGTAATGTTTCACAATGTGTTTCTTTGCACTGTGTATATTTTTTCTATAGCCTGCAGATCTGCATTCTGTATTTATTCAAGGCTGTTTTTATTTTGCACTCCTTTAAATATATTTATCTGTTTATGACTGTCTCCATACAATACAGTTAAAGCCTCACAGCACTGACTGGAGTTGGAGGCAGCAAAAAAAATCTTTAAATTCCGATAATCAGTGTTTAGTGAAATTGTTTGCTGAGGAAGAAAAATCTACTTAACTTTGAATGGAAGTTAACAGAATAGCATTTCCTAGTAATTCTGTAGCATTTCTATTCACCAATTCATTATGAAATTCAACACATTCTAAGGAGCAGCTGGCGTTTTCAAATTCTGTAAAAACTTAAAAAACAACAAAAATAGAGGTACAAGGTTTTGTTCTGAAAGGGATGATATACACGTGCAACTTGAAGCAGGGACTGAAGCCCAGGGCCCAGAGTAATTCAGGGCCTTTAATTGGCTGTTTTTTGTTTGTTTGTTTGTTTGTTTTCTATTTATTTATTTAATTTAGTTATTTATTTCCCTTCCACTACCTGCACCTGCCCAGATTGATCCCCGGTCTTGGGGAAATTTGATTTGTTTTCTGTGAGAGCTGTCTGTATTATGCCCAATCAAATCATTACACTCTCCCCCAAACTCCGCCTTCTCTTCTAAGCCCTCCATTCAATGCACAGCAACGTTTGCTATCCACCATTGTCTCAAGCCTTCAGTTTGTTCAGCATGTCAGTGTTTGAATTTGAAGCTCCAGTCGGGTAAAAAGATGGAACTGTGGATGTTTAAACGTGAGATTCCATCCTAACGATTTGTACTTTATATATAAATAATTAGTTTTCTGAAAATTTTGTACTTATAATGTTATATTACTACAAAGGCAAACATGGGCTTTGTGAAAATGTGAAAGTAAGCATCTACGTTGCTTTAGTGCATTAAGGTAAGACATGAATGGATCATAAATATTCTTCATTCCCGCTGTGGCAGTACGCTTTAGCCTACAGTGATTAAGTTTAGGTTTTAACGTTTACTGTTTTGTTTTTTTCTCATCTGTGGACGTCTCAGCTGTCTGATTTTACCTCAGTAATGTCGTCTTCATTGGGCAAACATGGCTGTGATGAGCAGACATAGGCTATAGTGAAGGGTGCTGCAGTGTTGGTTGTGTCTATATGAATCCTGTATTCTGGTTAATTGCTATTGTTTTGAATTACTATAGAGCAGTAATGATGAATTAGGTAGGGTGACGACTGCATGGCTGGAATAGGCTGTAGGCTGATGGGACATTAGCACATTTGGAAATTGCATGTACTTTGTTAGCCAACCCACTTTTTCACAGGCCTACCCAAAAATGTATGTCTACCTATGGCACTAGATCAAACAATAGGCTATAGCTTGTCACAGACCTCAGTTGTTTTGTGCTGCACAGCAGATTGGGCGCTTCACAGTTAGAGCACATACAAGATCAGGATATGTTCATATTTTATATTCAAACTTACTGTACTTCTATTGTTTTAACAAAATAAAAGTTTTTCTAACATCAAGTTTGATTAATTTAGTTCACCACGTTTGGTATCA